CGTCAGTGACTAAAATGCTTCAGGCTCGACCTCACCCGGCCCAGCCCATCCCTAATTTTTTTTAAAAAATAAAATATATTGAGTTGAGTCCGGCCCATCTACTTCTTGGTCTGGGCTTGGTCAGTTATCTGGGTCAGCCCAGCCCATATGTTTAAATATTTTTTAATTAAATAATATATATATATATAATGTTATATAAAAAAATTAATTTAAAAAAATAAAAAATTTCAAAAAGAATTTTCAAAAATCCTAAAAAACTATGATTTAAAAAAACAAAAACAAAAAATTTTAATTTTTCATAATGTCGGGTTGTATATTTACACTATAAAATGCAAATCCAGTGTTAAAATATCTGATTTTCTCCTAAAATATTAAAAAAAATTGAAAACATTTTTAAAAAGAAAAAAAATATATTTTGTTGCATACGACCAAATCCTAAAATTTTTCCAAGCATATTTTTCATTAAAAAAACAAAAATAGCATCTTTTTCATGTTTAAAAAAAATCCAAAAATGGATATCGTAACCAGTTTATCATTATCCATTAGGATTTGGCTAACATGTCAAAAATCCTTTTTATTTCTTTTTAGGATCCAGATGTAAACTTTAATATTTATGAAGTGTAAAATTACACGATAAAGTATACTCTTAGGTATTAAAGATACAAAGTGTAGAAATGCGATACTAAAATTTAGACTTTAGAACGGTTAGGATTTAACCTAATAAGATAGAAACTCTTTCATGAAAAGAGATCTGCTTTGAAACTTAGAAAACACCAACGAATAAAAGCTCAACCTAGAAAAACAATTAAACAATAATGTAGCTTACCTTAGGTAGGGTGCATTTGGGGTGATGCTTCTTCCCCTTATATAACTAATCCCTTATTCAGACTCTCGCAGACCATAGGTTCCTAGTGACCATAATATTAGGTGGCGACTCTTAAACATTAATCATAATTTTATGATTAAATTCAAAAATCTTCCCAATGCACAACACCCCTTATTAGGAGGCATGACAGAGAGCCTCCGTTGTTGCTAGACGACGGTAGTAATGATATTCCATCTAGATAAGAGCTTGAGAGCTATCCACCACTTCCACAAAAAGCACTACTAAGTATTTTAGTCATATCTCGAGTTTTAGCGATCCAAATACTTTAAAATTTTATAGGTGGAAGAAGGAGATGATTTTCAACAACTTTTATGAAGAATATTTTACCAAATTCTAATTGCATCATTACCATTTCATCCAGTTAAAATACTTGAGTGTTGTTGTTCACCAAGTCCACTAAATCAATAGTTGTCCTTTACATCAATAATCAATTACCAAATTAATAGTTTTGAATTTTATCTTAGGTATTTGTCATTCATTTAGGCATCTTAGTTGTTTAGATAAAGATCTTTCTCTTACTCTTTTTTTTTTGTATTTTGTAATGTTCAAGTTTTATTCCATGTTATGTTTTCATTAATCTTTTATTCATACTTTTTATTTCCTTTACTATACTTATATAGTTATATTATTATTTTATTTATTTGTGTTTTTATTTTTTATAATGTTTAGTTAAATTTATTATGTCAAGGTAAAAAAGTTTTACTAATGGTGTTAGGATAAGTATAATATAAACTCAATATGGACTTCAATGCTTACATCCCAAACAACGTGATATTAACATGTCTTATCATTTTTATCTTATCAATTCTTAATATCTAACTTGTTAAATGGTTAATCTAGATTTGTGTTGTAAAACTTGGTATATTAAATGTTTGATCCTTTATAGTTTTCGGTTTATGTTGTTGTTATGAGAGGAACTTGATTTGTTATCAACATAAGTTAGCAATATGAATACCTAATAAAATTTATAAGTATGGTGTTAAGTAAATAAGATAATTAATATGATCATGTTGATAATTTATAAAGAGTTTATACTTTACTTATCTCTAATACTATTAATGAATCCTCTAACCTTGACAAATTTTTTTTTCATTGTTTAATCCTCATATTAATGTCATATCTCAAAGATCTCTTTAACTCTTTGTTAAATTATATATATTATTTATAATTTATATTGTTGACCTCCTTATAGATCGACCCCGATTTTGTCAGGTTATTTATTACTTTGACACTCCTGTATTTAGGATAAAATATCAATCTTTCAATCATGTCAGCGACCAACCGAAGTTGCTTGGGCCAGACCAGCACGTTTGACTTCAAGTCCCAAGCTTTAGACACCTAGCGTTGGGTTTGTCATAACCTGATGCTAGGCCAAACCTACCTGCCTAGTTGTATAGACAGGCAAGCTGGTTTGCAGGCCATGGGCATGGCTTTGCGTGCCCATGAGAAATGGGTCCGAAGGCAAGATCCAGCAGCCATAGGTTCGCTACTGGACCTAAAAGGTTTGGGCCTTGACTAATAGGTTGAGCAGGTTGATCCAAATTTAAAGGTTCCTTTCAACTAACCCATTAAGAATGGGTCGAGCAGCTGGACCCTAATCTAATGGGTCTTGCACCAGACGCAGGAAGAAATTGTTTTGCGGCAGGACCTAAATCTAAAGTGTCATTCACCAGACCCATGAGTATTAGGTCCTGTCGTGAAGGTCCAAGGTAATGGGTATAGTGCAGGGCCCTATTCTTTAGGGTCGTGCGTTTGGATAGAGGGCTATTAAAACCCATGACATGAATTGAGACTAATGAATCTTTATATAGGACCTACACTTTCTAGGTCCTGCATCACACTTAATTTTTTTGAATTTGTTTTCAAATCTCAAGTCTAATGGGTCAAGCATTGGATCCAAAGTTTATGAGCGTTGAAAGGAGACTTAATTTTCTTAGAATTTATATAATAATAATATTTTTTATAATTATAAAAAATAAATCCATAATATACCCAAGTCACCTATCTAACTAGTACAATAGGAAAACGTGTTTTGCCTCTCCTTGTTTTTTAGAAGTCGCTAAAATGATCACAAATCAAATTGTGATCCTTGGAAAATAATTTATGAAGTAGACAACCCTTCAAAAGCAAAAGGGAGGATGAAAAGGAAGAAAAGTCGACCTAGACGACGAAGAAATATAATACTTAAAAGAAGATGATAACTTTAAAAAGATAAGCTGACCTCGACCCTTCAGATAATCTGGAGCCATTCATATGAAGGGAATATACATATATTTTAAGCTGCAACGCCAATATAATATCAGATTCCATTTAAAAAGGAGCTCTTCTTATTGAGGTATCACTTAAAAATAAAATCCTAGCTGCATTAGTTTACGAAGAAGCATGATTTTCCGCATGATTAATGGTATTTTGTTTTTATATATTTTAAAAATATTTTTGAAAAAATTTAAAATTAATATATTTTTTATTGTTTTCAAATTATTTGGATATAATAAAAAAAAATTAAAAATATTAAAAATATTATTTTAATAAATATTTAAATTTAAAAATTTAAAAATAACCATACCTACCATCAAACTCAGAGTCACCTCAAATAATGTTGCGACCTGACAACCGCTCTTGGGAGCTGCTGATCTATTACACAACATGGTGGTCTCTCTCTCCAACTTGACTGTAAAGAAAAAAGAAAAGCATTTGACGCATTTGACCTGGATATGTTGGATCTGGCTGCGTGTGTAGGCGGGAGGGGGGTCCAGGCTCCAATGATGCCAAACAACAGAGGCGAGAAGGGGGAACCATGTGCGAGTTACCTGTCCGGATACAGACAACAGGTAAACACATAGCTGGTGCCTTCTTCACAAACTTAGGTTTCACGTCTATTGCTCGCTCTCTCATTCATGCATCATTTCTGTACTTCCCTTCTCTTTTGTTTCAGGTAAACACATAGTTGCTCGCTCTCTCATTCATGTATCATTTCTGTACTTCCCTTCTCTTTTGTTTTCCTTTTCTTCTCATATGCTGGCGGGTGCAGTGTACAACAAGCAGCAATCACATTCGTGCTCATCTTTTCAAGACCCATAGGCGAAAGTTTGATGCCTTGTGCTCTTAATTTGTACTCTTCTGGATCCGATTGTAACCAAATTTTGAGATGTTACAGTGTAGGGTAATGTATACAAGTGGCAGACAGAGCTGGAGATAGGCTGGTCGATTTGGGAGTGATAGTGGAAGGTGTATGGACAAATGCCTTCTCTTTGACTAAATTAATTGTATAGTCTCGGACTGCAATTTGGACATTCTTAGTTTTTCGCTCATTCATTGTATTAAAGGATAAGTTAATGAGTTGTTTTCAGCTTGAATAACTTAATTTGGACCATCTATATGATAAATTATGGTCCGAAGTTTAGTTTGAATTGGAGATTTGGCCAACGTTTAATGAAATGGGGGATTCGATTAGAAAGATTGTTTGATGGAGGACTTGAATAGATCTAACTAAATCATTGATCTCCAATTGCTAAACAGTACTCCACCAACTAGTCTTTTTAATTAGAAAAAGTTTTTCCATCCTTCGTTCAATTACAATGATAAAAGAGAAATCTAGAGGTAAATCGTTGACCTAAAATTCCGACTCATTGCCGCGTTGCTCAAAGAGAACGTGAAAGTTATCGATAGAATACATGAAATATTATACTCTCAGTTAACACAGAGAGCAATGAAAACAAAAGAAGGGGGCAAGAAAAATTAAAATACCAAAAAAAAAACGTATCTTTAGAAAATAAAAAAATTCACCCAAAAGAGAACGTCTTAAAAGAAGTCCCTTTTTTCTGTCACTAATAAGGAATAAAAATAAATAAATTACATGGACACTTTATACTTTGATTTATTTTTCACTTTCCTTTCATGATTTGAAAAATTATATATATATATGTGTGTGTGTGTGTGTGTGAATGTATGTATGTATGTATGTATGTATGTATTTCATGGTTAAGAAGACATTTCAAATGTGATGAAAAATGCCTCCATATATAATATATCTACTTGCATAATTTTGCCGAACACCACGTTTTTCCCTCTCTCCCTCCCTCTCTCCCTCTCTCTGAACCCAGCATACAAACACTAAATCTTAAGCTAAATATTCGTTTTTTAATTGAAATATCTGCTCGTGCGACTTTAAATTGACCTAGAAAACTCTTGTTGGTTTTTGTTTATTCAATCTTCTCGTCGGGAATAGGGAAAAAATTGCATGTAAGTTGTTTATTAAAATTGAGATTTTGAATGGCATGTTTGTGCATTTATTTTAAGTTAAATGTTGTTCGATTGTTAAAATAATATATGTTTATACTTGATTTAAAAAAATTAAATAATTTTTAATTGATTCAAACCGAAGTTCTAGAAACCCTAAAAAATATTTTCTAACTTGATAACTCACAATATTAAGTGTTTTACATATGTTTTAGCTATTTTCTTTACTATATATATTAGGGTTAATAAATTTGATGGTTTTCATGTTTAAATGTTGTGTAATTTTAGGGTTTGATGTGTTTAATTATAATATAATTTTGTATTATTTATAATTATATGATACAAAAGGTCATATATTGTTACTTATCATGATAGTTTCATGATAAATATTATTGTTGTAACTATATGGCTTATATGAACATTGTGTTCATACTCAAACAAGTTTTTTTAATAGCCTATGTGTGTTTTGGGTTGTTGTTGGTTATATTAAAGAATTGTGTTTGAAAATAATAAAGAATTATTGTTGAAAAATTTAAGAATTGTTTCTGCAAATTTGTCAATTGTTCGTGTAAATTATGTAACTAAAGCTCTGAAAGTTTGTTGGTTTTGCTAGGTTGAAATGGTGAAAAAACTTGGAGATCTTTTCTGGAATCTATAATTTTGTTGGGTTGAAATGGTGAGGAAATGTTGAGAATTTTGTGTAACTAAAACTCTAGAATTTATTGTTTTTGTTGGGTTGAAATGATGAAAAACTTTGGAGAAATCTATTCTTGAATTTGATCTTTTTTATTTGATTAAAAAAGTGCAGATTTGTTATTCAGTATGCTATAAACATGAACTTAGTGTTATTATTGTTTTTTTTATTATTATTATTATAAATATTCATCCATAGAGCAATGGTTAATTTTAAAAATAATTGCCAATGGTTAAATTATGATATTTTTGTTATTTTGAATCACAAGAGACATTTAAATTATTAAATTAAATATAAAGATAAAATAATACTAGATTTTTTATTGATTATCTTTTGACACCAAGATAAAGAACATGAAATATTACTAAGTTATTAAAATTGACGAGGAAATTGAATTTTTTCAAACTAATAAGAAAAAGTGAAAAATCAACCACAGTATATAAAAGGTTAAAGTAATTATCAAAAACAAGTCAGCAACAACCAATCACCAGTTTCCACGTTTTCAGGTGATGAAAAAGTTGCTATTGCCGCCAATATGAAAGGCTGCACTCCTGTAGTAAACAGAATGGGAGGCTTCTCGTTATCCGGAAGATGACGAAGGCGGCTTTGGGGACTCAATGCGTCCCGACACGCAGGCGCGTGGCAAAAGCTGACAACACGCTGGAGGGAAAAGGAGAGAAAAAAACTGTGAATCACGTTAAATTAAATGTATAAATTTGTAGGGCCTACCATTGTCGTTGCTTGTTCTTCGAGGCTTCCCATTGGATTCACGTTTATCTCCTGCAGCTCTCACAAATATAATTTTGACATCGACAGCTGTGTCGTTACGAGTATTCGAGACTAGACTTCCAGTTACTGCTCCATAATGTTTATAGCTTTGGTTCTTAGGGAAA